AAGAAGACTGTGATATCTGTAGACAGTTTATATATTTTGAGGGATAAACTGTCTACAGATATCACAGTCTTCTTAAAACACAAACAAAAACAACTTAGAAGTTTATATATTTTGAGGGATAAACTGTCTACAGATATCACAGTCTTCTTTAAAAGACAAACAAAAACAACTTAGAATGATATATATATGTACTCAATCATGCTGTCTACAGGAAGTTAAAGTTCGGAGCTTACAAAGAAATCCCTACAGACAGCAAGTATTCAGCATCTACTTATACATTAAATCCTTCATTTTCTGGGGGGCATGCCTCCATAGCATTAGCATGCTGATTGTGCTTGACACAATATGCATTGGCTTTTGATTTCACAAATAAGTAGTGTGATTAATATTTTGTCATCTTTCACTCCACACAGTGAACTTGTATTTACATAGAATATGTATCATTAATAATACTAATTTACTCCTCTGAAATGGATATGAAGCTCAATCTGTAATTTGATTTTGGGAAAATACACCCTTTATCTGTAACAACGGGAAATGACAAAACAACAATTTGTACGGTGCTTGGAGTTGTCGTTTACTCACCAAGTAAAGTGGCATAACTTGATGGGTTTTACCATTAAAAGAAAAGTCCATCTGCATTGTGGGTAAGGGGGGGGTATCACGTTGGATCTGACTTCCTGTTCATTTCTTTTATTATGCTTTTTTTTATGTTAGCATAAAAAACAATAAAAAAGGCTGTCATATGTAAATATTCAATGTATATAAATGGAACATACAAAAATGTAAATGTAACAAATATCTAATATTATTACTAGTAGCTTTTAAGCAAGTTTTTTATGTTGTTTCAGAACAAATTATACCAAGTGGTGTTTTTCATGTGAGATTATTTTGTTTCTCTCAAACTTTCATTCTGATAGTAACATTTTTAATTACATACCTATAAACAAGCATGGAAAAATGGAGTGCAGATTGTGTTTAGGCCTAAAAGTGACCTACTAGTTTCAACAGAAACAAAATGTGTTTTTTTTTTATCAGTCACATAAACTAAATTCTCTGACAAGGGTCTTAACTTCTTTAGTTTACTTTTCTCCATTTGTGAATTGGTACTGATAGGGATTGTAATTCCCCATAATTGGTCAACCTCAGCGACATGGGGTAAATTCATAACTGATCAACCTTAGTGACACGGGGTAAATCCAAGATTGAGACTCACATTATTGTTTTCCAAAAATTACATCTTGATAACAAGAAGAATCACAACAGAAAATTGTATTTATGTCATAGTGGTAGTGTATCAAGTATACTTATTTATGTCATAGTGGTAGTGTATCAAGTATACTTATTTATATCATAGTTGTAGTGTATTAAGTATACTTATTTATGTCATAGTTGTAGTGTATTAAGTATACTTATTTCTGTCATAGTGGTAGTGTATCAAGTATACTTATTTATATCATAGTTGTAGTGTATTAAGTATACTTATTTCTGTCATAGTGGTAGTGTATCAAGTATACTTATTTCTGTCATAGTGGTAGTGTATCAAGTATACTTATTTATATCATAGTGGTAGTGTATTAAGTATACTTATATGTCATAGTGGTAGTGTATCAAGTATACTTATTTATGTCATAGTGGTAGTGTATTAAGTATACTTATTTATGTCATAGTGGTAGTGTATTAAGTATACTTATTTCTGTCATAGTGGTAGTGTATTAAGTATACTTATTTATATCATAGTGGTAGTGTATTAAGTATACTTATTTCTGTCATAGTGGTAGTGTATCAAGTATACTTATTTATATCATAGTTGTAGTGTATCAAGTATACTTATTTATATCATAATGGTAGTGTATTAATAATAATACTTAGAGTGACGCTACCGTCTTATAAAGATTACACGAGTTGACCCGTAAGGTTTATTCTGAAAGAAGAACCAAAAAGTGCTGTATGTGTTGATTGGGAGTGACAGTATGTGATTATAGAATAAGTGCCACCGTATGTACGTGTTGTTTTTCCTCTCTCCAGTTCAGCTGGACTCAGGATCCGAAGAATGTCCAGAGTGGTGAACAGACTCTTCGTATTTACGATGAAGAAGGGTTCTCTGCCTTAAGAAAGGTAATGTTTTTGTATATCGTATCGATGATCCCTAATAGAATTATGCATTCGTTTTTAATTAAGAAATGTTAAATTTTTAGTTTTAATATTATGTTAAATAATAATTTGTATGTACAATAAAAATATTAAGGTTAATTAAAAAAGATCCCTAGTATCAATTTTTGGCAATAGAAAATCAGTTTCATAATTTTCTTCAGAATTGAAGACTATTTCAATCAAATTAAACATTGTATAAAATTCAAAATTGCATGTTACGGACATGGATATCTTGTATATGTTGCAAACGGTGGTGTCTGTCCAAGTGTTCATCTCTCTCCTGTTTAAAAAGCTGCACAAGCAGACAAAGTTCAACATTCACTTTTGAAATGACGAGAGAACAGGCAGGATATTCAACATTAAATTGTTAGGAATTAATCACACTATCGTCACATTTCTAAGTGTGACGTAACTTAAAATATAAAAATGTCGATTTACCATACAACTTTTATCCTGACTGAAATGTTAAACAATTACTTTTCGTGGTGGGAGGTATAAGTAGCTCAGAGCTTTGGCTCTGAGTGAAACCAAGAGCGCAACACAATTATCCTTTTTAAAGTCCATGAAATAATTTAAATTGATAGATTAACTTAAACTTTTGCTGTCACTAGGGGTGGGTACTTTTGTTTGTTGTTCTTTATCCTTAGTGTTATGTCCTCTTAGTTGAAAAGTATATAAATTAGTAGAAAGTTTTGAGTTATCTTCTTGTTGAACTTCAAAATCCTGCCAACTGCTGTATTAATAACCTGAAGAAGAGAGAACTGAGGCTTTTCACCTTTGAGCTGATAATTAGGTAAAGTAACTGGTTGGGAAGCCAAGTCTCCGTTTCTCCCTCTTCAGAAATTACTGAAGCATGTGTTACTCTCTGAGAAAACCTGTTATTTGTTTGAAAAAGTAAGGAGGTTTTGTTTACTTCATGTTAATCTTTGTTAGGTCCAGCGTAGTGGAGAAGACACTTCCAACATCAAACCTTTGTTTACTGTTACCATCAACCATCCAGTAAGTAGAACACAATATAGTCAGTTGTTTACTGTTACTTTCAACCATCCAGTAAGTAGAACACAACAGCATCAGTTGTTTAGTTACCATCAACCATCCAGTAAGTAGAACACAATATAATCAGTTGTTTACTGTTACTTTCAACCATCCAGTAAGTAGAACACAATATAATCAGTTGTTTAGCTACCATCAACCATCCAGTAAGTAGAACACAATATAATCAGTTGTTTAGTTACCATCAATCATCCAATAAGTAGAACACAATGGAATCAGTTGTTTAGTTACCATCAACCATCCAGTAAGTAGAACACAATATAATCAGTTGTTTACTGTTACCATCAACCATCCAGTAAGTAGAACACAATGGAATTAGTTGTTTAGTTACCATCAACCATCCAGTAAGTAGAACACAATGGAATCAGTTGATAACTAAAGTGAAGACATTCGACTGAGTTGGGGATAGAATGCTGAAAGCTTTTTGTATTTTTAATGTTGTATTATGTGATTCAGTCCACACTTTCAAATGTTAAAATTCTTGTTTTCCATTTTTAGCTCTTACTGTTAAATATTCTAGACATATACAACTTTTCAAATAATATTTAGTCCAACTAATTGGAACAATTACCCATTTTCTATTTAGATTTGTTGCAGGTGGTGTGATGATTAATCATAACAACTGGAGATTGGTCATTTAGAATCAAACAACCAAGCATTTGATTACACTGTTTTTTTGGGGGGGTTAGGTTTTATATTTGTTAAATTCTTATTACTCGCCCGTGTCTCAATAAAATCCTGATATTTATAAAGACATAATTAAGATGTGTTCTCATTGGTTAACGGTCACGAAACTGAGCATTTGTTCGATAATTAAAGGTGTAAAACAATTCTCAAAATGTATTCTGTCTGAAATAAAACCGAGATGAACTTATGGTTTGAAAATTCTACAAGATAAAAACCAGTAATATTTTAATAAGTTATCTGTGCATAAACTTTAATTTTTCCACATTTCTTTGTTATGAATTTATCCTGGACAATAGAAAAAAACAATGTTTTTATTTCAACTTATTGAAAAATAAAACAAATGTTGATTGCTAAGTGACGAACCAATCATTAATATTTTATCACTATTGGATAGTTGTAAAAGGGGCATACTGACAGCTACATGTGAAAACTGCTAATAACCACACAATAGTTCTAGTTAGGATCATTCTTTATCAACTTAGCTGAATAGATAATGCTAGAAACCAGCTTATCTTATAGCGACAGTTTGTCTACTCATGAGTTAAATATCACCAATGTTTCTTATGGCAATCAGTCAAGTAATGTTTTCTAACTGTGTGTTAACCATATTCTTTGCTTGATTTTGCAGGGCACTTATCAAGGTCCTTGGGTCCAAAGTGAACTGGTAGCTGTGGTCACTGCTTTAATCCTTTGGTACGTGGCATATTCAACAAAATTGAAGATACAATTATGAGATATCATTTTGTTAAGTTTCCAGTTTTCTAAGTAAATAAAAAGAGTTGAAAATTATCGTTCTCGATTACTTTGTTTTTACCAACTTATTCAGTAAATGTGTTGTTTCTACAGGTGAAAACACTTCTTACTTTCATGAATGGAATAATACATTACATAATATAAATACATTAACCCTGAAATATCGTTTTCAAAATACTAATAAAAGTAATCAGCTTTTACGATGTAGAAAGAAAATTAAGTACAAACACAGTGTTGTGAGGAGACTATAAATATGGACTACAAACATGGTATTGTGAGGAGACTATAAATATGGACTACAAACACGGTGTTGGGAGAAGTGAGAA